TTGTAATTGGGGGGGGGGGGGGAGTACAAGAAAATGTCTGAGAATCACGCAGCGTTATCATAAGTTGTACTTTATATAATTGGACAGAGGGTGGAGTAGAATAATTGCTTATGAAACTATGCTGACTTCTGTGGCTGGATGGTAGGCTGTACAGCGAGACGTAAGCGAAATTATTATAGAGTCTGAAAGTAGTACACATGCAGGAACTAAACTTATTCAATATGTAATTTCAAAGTGGGCGGAATATATAAAAGTTAACATACATGCATTTGGTTATAAAGGAGAAAACTATGCAGCCAACGTATTTCTATAATGACGTATGAGAAATAATGCGAAAATTTGAGGCCTCGTAATGCTTGCCTTCCACGATGTTGTGTATACTAATCAACACAGACGCAGATCTTATGTTCTGCAGATTGCAAAGAAGAAATTACAGAAAAGGCAGAACAGCATTCTTTATTAAATTATCTGTGCAGTGCACCGCAAAAGGCCACGGCAATCACACGCCACTTCCAAGTTCCCACCACTTCCTTACGCCAGCCACAACGAACAACTCCAGCGAAACTGGAAGAGGATTAAGACACATGGCCAAAGAGCGAAGAAGAAGAAAAGATGCGGGAAGTAGGAGGGGTAAAAAAAGAACATTTGAGAGAGAAATCACTTGTTGATCGGCGGCCTCCCACCCCCTGCAAGAGCGATGTGGCACACAAAACCCCAATTAGTGACGCCCAGTTAGCTGTGTGCGGGATTTTGTAGTCGGACCATTCGGGGGAGGGGGATGTGTCAGTGGCGTGCCGATACAAATGTACAGAAACAGGTGAATAATAATCAGCGCATTCATTTTGCACAGCGACTGAACAGAACGAGCAGAATTATCTGGAAACCTACGAACCTGGCGAAAAGATCTTACGCGGTAAAAATTAAGCACAAAACTGTTAAGCGACTATTTATACAGAACTTAACATTTTATTTCGAACTACTTACTAACAATAAAATATAAAATATAATGCATCCTTACAAGTCTAAGTCTTAGCTATATAATAAGAATTTATAATGTTACAAGTTGTTTAAAATGGATGTGAAAAATAGACTCAAGAGTTTTCATGAGAATATTGGACCCTTAAAGACAGGACGGCGAATGAAATTTCATTACAAAAAATTCCACAAGTTGTACATTTTGTTCTTTTACATTGTGACGCCGTGTGGAGTCGTAGGAAACGTTTCAGAGATACAAACTTTCTCCATCTTCAAGACCGAACTTCAAATCTCCTGAAATTGTACCTTTCGCCAAATATTTCTGACGGACTAAACCTAAGATGTAATGGACGGGAAATGGGGCACACGAAATTCGCATTAAAAATTGTACTCGATAAACGTAAGAGAACAGGCTACTCAGACGACAATAAACGTAATATTGAAAAGTATTATAAATATGGTGCGGACTAGATTTACATGGCTCAGGACATCGTCCAGTTGCGTGTTCTCGTGAACACTGAAATTAACCTCCCGGCACAACAGAAAAATATGTAAATCTGACCAGCAAACAACTCGGCTTCTTGGAACGAGGATTTCCTCGTTGCTGCTTACTCAACACTTCGTACATTGCGGCCAATGTCAAGATGACTGTGGATGATAAAACGGGCACAGAAAATACTTCCACGACGTACTGCAATATACTAACCCAACATTTGCTTTGAAAGGCGAAGGAAAAGCATAACACATTTCATTCAAGACAGCTGATAAATGGGACGTGCATTGAAACGGGCCTTCCAAACACAATGCAGGCCTGCCGACTTCATTTTC